CAGGTTTTTCTAACGCTAAATCCGTTGCTCATCCATCAAATCGCAGCAATTTATACGTGATGTAATAGCGTTTCACATGTTAAATTCTGAACTTCCCCAGAACCCGACACACTTTAGTTGTCTCTGGGTCCCCAGTGCCTCTTACAGAGCCTGGATCTTGATATGCAGTTGGGGATTGTGTGAGGAATAGACTCATGAGTGACTGAAGGAAAGACAAGTACTACCTTTTATACTCTTTTAAAAGCTTCCTTTACCCAGCTGAGAGGGTTCTTTCCATGGAAGGTATATTTTCCCCAAAATAAACCTCAGGTGCATGTCAATACCAGAATGCAAGTGGATCAAAAGGGCTTTTTTTAATTTTTGATTCCTACTCTTCCCACAAAGTGAAAAAAAGTTCTTTGTTACCTTAAATATCTATGCCACATCGTACAATGCTCTCTCTTAATGCAAGTGCTTATTATTGTGGCTAATTTTGTCACATGTGTTTGAGGGAGAACAATGCCTCAGAAATTTTTAAAAGCAAAACAGCAATCTGAAGCATTTGTTGTAATGAGATGTAAATTGCCAACATTGGTAGTGGAGCCGACTAAAATTTGCAGTGAAGTGATTTTCCCCCCTTCTTAAATTAAAAGCACTAGAGACCCTCCCTCTTCTCCCCAAAGAAACCACATGCTTTTTTTTTCCTTTTCCTTCTGATTCTGTGATGCTAAACATCACGCTTTATTGATTGATTCATTCCTTCATTCATCTGCCGTTTTCTGAGCCTCTGTTCCGTGCCTGCCTCGGTGCTCAGCTCTTGCAGAGGCATCATCAGCCGCACGGTGGCTATCCGTAATCCCATTGTGCAGAGAGGCGAGGTGACTTTACTTGCCTAAAGTCATGCAGCTGGGATTCACACCAGGTCTCCTAAAGGCCCCTTTCAATATGTGCCTTTGGCTGGTTTTTCCAAGCTGCCCCCCTTGCTGAGGCTGAGGCGACAGGTACCTTCTGTATATAACGCCCCGGAGGAGGAGACTGTTGCAGAGAGCCCTGACCAGGTGTTAAACAAATGGTACTAACTGAGAATGTTAGGAAATCATTTTCCTTGAGAGCCAGAGATCCCAATACAACAGCCTCAGTATTTGACAAAACTCCATCAGTCCCTGAGGAGAGCATCATGAGCCTGTGGAGAGCGGGTGGGCTGCGGAGTGCAGGGACGTGCTGTGTGCCGCGCCTGTGCCGGGCATGAGCGGCGAAAGCAGAGCAGAACCCAAGGTTCACAGAACCCAAGGTTTAGTGGAGACAAACTTAAGGACACAAGTATAACGTGTGTGGGGGAGAGTGCAGTGTCGGGGAGTGAACCACTATTTACCAAGCAGCCACTCTGCACAGACTCTGAAATAATCATTTCATATATGTGGTTCACACATTTAATCCTTAATCTTGCCAAGTCACTGTTATCTTTCCTCCTTTCAGGTGAGGCAACAAGGTCAGAGAGGTTAAGTCATTATTTATGTGTAAATTATATCTTGAGGATGGAATTTGAACCAAGCATTGAGCTGGGTGAGCCCTGTTCTCTGTCATAAAAAGACAATCCTCGGCTGCCCGAGCCTCACAGTCTAGTTAGGGAGACAGACATAGAAACAAATGAGTGCATCTGATTATTATGGTAGAGTGGAGACAGAGGGTGTGGGAGGGTCCAAAGGACAGTGGAGCTCTACTACGCAAGAAAGATCACAACTCACCTAAACAGGAAGTGGCAAACCCAGTACTTAAGCCTAGTCACTCTGACTCTAAATCCCAAGCCAAGTACTGGAGAGAATTATTTACCTCCATTTGAGGGGACAGGGCAGCCTCGTGGAAAAGGTGGCATTTGAGGCAGGCCTTGCACTGCTGGTGGAGTTTGGATAGGTGGACATCCGTAGGGGTAGAATGTTCTGAACAAAGGGAATGGCACAAGCAAAGACTGGGAGGCAGGAAAGAATGGTGTATGTGTGGAGAGGGTTAGTCAGGCCACTTTGCCTACAATGGAGTCTGACTCTGGGAAGGAGACCAATAGTGGACGGAGCCAGAGAGGTGACTCTCTCAACCCAACTCCTCTGTAGACAGTGTGAAGGAAGAGTCCTTTGCCTATATCTGTAGCCATCTGAATTGTCCATTCTCCTGACTAGATGCTTCTGATTTCTACTTAATAGTCCTAATTTCTACTTCTCAGGCTGCAGGCAAGGTTACAGACATTCAGAAGAACAGCTTCCCACCCACCCATACCTCTACCCTCAAGCACCCCCACTCAGCAGCAGGGCTTTATTTCAGAATCTTTGCCCCGGTCCATGAAATTCTCTCCCTGCCCCCCACCCCCAACTCTCTCTCCTCTCATATCATGAAGAATTTATTAAGAGCTTGCCATCAGGCACTGCCCTAGGCTCCAGGATTCCAAAGGGAGCAAAACTTTGCTTTTAAAGAGCTTCACAGTCTAATGTTGAAAAAAGACAGATAGGTAAGATGATTGCAAACATAATTTGCTAAAAGTATTCACAATATAGAGACCCCTACCTGGGAGTGATCAGATCAAGGCCTCACAAAGGAGACATCTGAGCTGTGTCCTGAAGTCTGACTGAGGGGTTGGCAGACAGATGAGGTAGTGTTCAAGGCCAAGACAGCAGCACAGAGGCCTGGGGCAACATGGCACTTGGGGCACCTGAGCAGAGGTGAATTTTGGGGGGAGCAAGAAGTAAGTCCTGGAGGTAGAGAGGATGCCAGTTGTTCTGAACTTAAAGAAGATGTGGGACTTAATGAGGGTGTAGTGGGGAGCCTAGGCAAGAAAAGACACTGTCATGTGGAAGATCTCTTTGGTAGCCATTGTGGAGACGGACGGGAGAGAATCAGATGGAAATCATAGCTGGACTGGATACATTCTCTTGTCCGACAGCCACTTCTCATGGAAGGAAAGGTAGGCTTTAGAGGAGGAACATGATCTTGCCAAAGAGGACGTGTAGCTAGTAGCTACATGGACCTCCTCCTGTCAGCCCATTCCTTCTTCTTGTTGCTGAACAGGAAAGAGACCTCAGATGCCAACTCAGCCACAAGCTTTAGGAGAAACTGAAGTAATTACCTCTCCCCATGTCTGAGAAAAGATCAAATGCTCCACTTGAGTTTGTCTGTATCTCAGAAATTCAACCTGAAATCCCACACAGAGAGGAGAAACTTTGGCATCTGCTTCTGGAACTTTAGAATTATTCACTTATTGTTGTCATTTTTTTTATTCATTTAGCAAACATTTAGAGAACACCTACTCAGTGCCAGGTGCTGGGGACAAGGGGAATATAAGACTTAAACCCAGCTCTTGAATAGAATCTGATAGCATTATTGAAAGATGCTATCAGAATGATTACGATGCTATTGGTCCTTCACTCTGCCAACTTCGGCATCTGCCATTCACTGACTTGTGGTCACACAATGAAAATGCAGCAGAGCCAGGAGTGGACCGGAAATCTCTACCAAGATGAGGAGAGCTCTTTCATCTGAACTGTTCTGCTCCCCAACCATCTTGCATTCAGCTTTGTGCGAGGTTCATACTTAACTCTCTGGAGACCACAAAGATTCTATCTTGCGGTTGGCAGCTGCCAGCAACTCAGGATTGATATTCTCATTCTGAGAAGCCCTGTCATGAGGAATTTTGGTAACAAAATCACCAATACCTTCCCTACCACCAACCAAAGTCTAGGATGTGGCAACTGAACACAGAGTTGCGACCAGATTATTGCAAAGGGCTTTAGTATATAAAGAGCTTTGCACCCAGTTGTCCACATGGTTAGCATTAGAGAAGATTGGACTGTGAATCCCTCCGTTACTTAAGTTGTATGCACAGCCGTAGGGAGCTGTGTGGCAGTAGCTGAATCTGTGATGTCAGTCAACTCCTGAAATGTGTGCACAGGGAGAATTTCCAGCATGCTAAATTCTGTTGGCCTTTGGAGTTGTTCTCCCACAAAAGTTAATCAAGTCATTCAGCCTTATTTACCCATTTTCATCCTGTTTCTCTGCCCTTTGGTAATCAAGACACAATAGGTGACTTAAAAAAAAAAAAAGTCCATAATTTTTAATAGCTAATGGAGAAAAAAATATCCCCCTTAGAAACTACCACCATTTATCTACCTTCCTTTCACTGTTTAAACCCCACATAATTGTGTTGATTGCATTAAAATAAAAATCAGAGTAGCTGCTGGTTCAGGCAATCAGGGGCTTAATCTGTATTGTATTTTAATTTCTTGGTTCAAATGCTCCTGTCTAGATATGAGGTCTTGGGGAGGGGAGGTCTTCACATTGCTCGTCGAAGCTTTCCTTACCTCCCTTCGTCTGCTGTGGCCTTCTCCACTGTAGGCTGCTGAGGTGGGGTTTTTGGCAAGTACACAATTTACATATTCCAGTA